TCCAAAAATTACAATAAATCAAGTTTAAATCCAAAAAATACAAAAAAAAACCCTTAAACTGACCAGAATCAAACTCTTAATCAATGAAAATAAAACCAAGTTGACTTGACAGCAAATCTGGATTTAATTTAATTTCAAGTGAAATTGAATATTTAAAAAATTTAATTACTTAAAAATAGATAAAAATTCCAAAAAAATCACAAATACTTGGGAATCACTCCTTAGGTCAATCTTGACCTTTGGAGTTGATTTCAAGGAGTTGAGAATTCATTTGGAGCAAAATAAAGAGAACCCTTCTAATTAAATAATTTCAAAATTTAATAATACATCAAACTTCAAAATTTCATAACTAAATGCAGAAAAATCCAAATTAACCAAACTCACTTGCATTCAACTCATAATGATGTCTAATATTTATTAAAAATATAAAAATTCTAGAAAACCATTAAATTTGAAAAGTCAACATTTTGGTCAACCTAAGTCAAAATTAGTTCAAAACTTCAAACATTCATAATAAAATTCAGAAATCTAATTTTAGCGTACTTACTGTCTAACTGATCGCATTAAGGTCTAATATTTTAATAAAATATTAATTTTCCAGAAAACATTCTTAATCAAAAAGTTAATTTTTGAACCCTTAATTAAATTATTAAAATAATCCAGAAAATTCATAAATTTAGAAAATTGTCTTAAAACTCTAGAAATCCTTAATCAACCTTAAAATCAATTTCAAATCATTAATACTTAAAATCAAATTTAAATCTTCCCTTAAGCCTTTCAACCAACCAGAACTTCAAACAACTTTAACAAATTGCCCACCATAGGACATATCCAAACCACACGGCCTACGTCACACACTTTAGATGATTTGTTAAGACAACCAATTCTAATTTTAGGATAGGCTGGTGTTTACTTTTCTGCTGTGTGCCTGGTTTTCGAGCTTTCACTGCATGCTAGTTGTTAGCTTTGAATTGATTGACTGTCTGTTTATTTATTTATTACACTCTGTTGAGCATTTAAATTTCAAATATATAAATTGCTTGAGTTCAATTATAACTGCTTGGGATTATATATAACTACTGATTATTATGATAACCCTACAAGATCAAGTCTAGATTTTTTAATTTTGATTAATTTAATTTGATATAATTTGAGTTATACTTAAAGTGATTTGAGTTTAGATGTTTAGATCCAACTTGAATACCAAAGAGGAGAAGACATCCCTAAAGGGGAGATTTTTCGTTAATTTGGAAGATCAAGTTTGGATGCTCTTCAAATATCCAAAGAGGAAAGATGACACCCCGTTCAAGGGGGAGTTTCTTTTCATTTGGATATCCGGAACCGACGAATTAAGATGCTCGTGAGAAGATAAAGAAGTGGATAACGGGAAGAATCCCAAATCTCAAAGTCACTTGAGTCTTAGGATTAGAAACCCGGGTTTTTGTCAGTGCTTCCCGGCCACTTTACTTTCAGCAGACCCTGGTTTGTAATATGCAAGGCAACTTTGCCTATAGACATTTATTAATTAATTCATTTATATTTGATGTTTGATGTGATTGCGTATAAAATTACCTGCTTTTCATAGTTTTTTTGGCGTTTATATGCCGCTTTTAGTTTTACCTGGACTCGTGAGACTCGTAAGGGTATAAAAATTTTTATACTCATAACTTTAAAGTTTAAGATTTTAGCGGGTCTAAACAACATAGAAAGATAACAAATTTAGGGAATTAGCCATGGATCGACTCCGCGGTCGCATGCATATTTCTATACTTCTTCTCTCCTTGTTTTAGACCCTTCTCTGCCTGCGGGTAGAGTCCGGAAGGTCTGACCTATGAGGACGAGGTGTCGGACCTGGGGAAGTCCAGTTTTCTAAAAAATTATTTTCTAAGACTGTTTTTAACTTTCAAGCATACTTGATATGAGGTTGTTAACTAGCATGTATTGCATTAGAAATAGATTTAAAAGAGTAAAAATTTTAATTGCGTTAGTTTTTAGCATTTTGCACCCAACATAAAGTCAAAGGGGCCAATTAAGAAAATCTCTAGATGTCAGCCCCAACTCTTCAAAACATTAAATAAAATGTCCTTACCACTCTTTCATAAAAGACCGGATTCATTTATTTTAAATCAATTATGTGGTTAGCTCGCTCCCCAATCCTAGCCGGGGTAAGTCCGGATTTGCACTGCATTAGCTAGGTTCGGGTCACTTTTCAGTACCTAATTTAGACTTAAGTTCTGAGGCAGGATCGGGCTATAAGACCTCAAACTCCGAGAATTGAATTCCAACTTTCTAATAAAATTGATTGCTAAAATAAAAAAATCTCTTTCAATCAAATTCAAACCCAACACATATGATAGGCTAAAGTGTTTTCTAAATCATTTCAGAATCTTAAAACACTCCCTACTCCTCCTCCTTTGACTCTAAAAATAAAATGCTCAACCTTGAACCAATCCTACCTGAAATTTCCAACATTTACTTCATTTGACATCAAGCTTTGAAAATCTAAATAAAATTCATACCGTTATTTTAATCGAGAGTATTCATAGGAAAATTCTAATTTTCCTACGATGTAATTAACTATGAGGGCTTGCGCTCGTAAGAGATTTAGAAGCCCATACCAGATTTTCAAAATCAATTCTTCAAAACCTCAATTAATTCTCTTTGGGAAAATCAAACCCGATGATCATTATCGTCATTTTTAAACGATCGATAGTGATTGATATCTTCTTTTTTCGGAGAGATATATAAATTATTGCCGTGGTTTTGATTATGAAATTAATGATATTTTATCCAGATTAACATAGTCAAACACTCGATTAAATACCATTTTGACCCTCCAAGGTCAAATGTGATTCTTTCCTGAGTTTGACTATGATATTAATCCGAATAAATTTAAAATTCTTAAATTTGAACCCATTAGAGAACAATATGTTCGTCTTTTGAGGTGATATACTGTTCATAATGACGTGTTCAATTTCAAAATTCAAAAAATTTAATATTCCCAAAGAAAATTAATCATTTTTCAAAACTATATATATTTTTTTCAATCAAAACAAGTCTCTATCAATAAAAGATGAATTGGACTATTTTGGATCTTTTTGCATTCTCTATACTAATAAATATAAAAAATTATGTATATTTCTTCATTAGCAAAATTCTAAGTAAACATTGTATTTCATTATAATTTATGAAATAAAAAAGTACAAATTTTGCATTATACTTTACATTTTCTGATAATATTGCATAATAATTTTGTTCGGAACATAATCAAATACTTCTTTCTTAATATATGGTATTAGACACTCATTGAGCCATACATCAGCCATTTTGCTATGCAATCGATGCTTAATAATTTTACGGGATGCAAACTTATGGGATGGGCAAGGACATTTGGGATGATAAAAATTAGAGCAAAAAAGTATTCTTGAGGGAGGGCAAAATACCAAAAAGACCCCACTAATACATTAATTATTTTTTTTAGGGTGGACATTTGCCCACCCTGACATCAATGTGGATATGCCTATGTCATCAAGAGATGACCAATCAACAATAATGGCTTGACTGATTGTTGTTGTTGGAGGTGATGATGGAATAATTATTACGTCCGGTGAAATCCGAATGTATGCCGAGCAATATCGAGTCCTCAATACCGAGTTTTAAGTGATATGGTGCGTGATTATTGGTCTCTGAACGCATTCGGTGACCGGACGTAATAATTGCTCATGATGATGACACCCCTTATAGCAAACAGGAGTCACATGAAATGTGGTATTAATGAGAACCGAGGGAGAAGGCATGGAGCAGCTGGAAAGTGTCTGTAGTAGGGCATCCATTTTCTTGGAAAGCTTAACAAACAAAGCCATGCTAACATAGCTCCCTTGTTAGGAGCCCTACACACTATTTTTGGTTTCTGTCACATGCAAGGATGCCAAATGGATAAGAAATATCCCCAATTAGTAGGATGATTATACATTAAGCTTTCTTCAACCAACTCAAAATAATCTCAATGGGAGCACTAAATATTGATGCATAAACATGGCTACAAATAATTCTCTTTGAATTGGGTTACTCCACTGTTGAAGAGCTTTTGTTCTTTAAGAAAGGGGCTAGTGAATAAATAATAATAATTAAGCTAAAGAGAGTAGGACATATTTAACTAGTTTGATCATGTTGGCTTACATCCATTTTAAGGAGCCAAAAGTATCACCAAGAAGAAGACAGAGAAGAGTGACAAGCTCATCTCTCTCTCTCTCTCTCTCTCTCTCTCTCTCTCTCTCTCTCTCTCTGTGAAGAGCCACATGAGCTTGCTAGCTTCATTCTTGTGAATGTCTTGATTCTAGTGGAAGGCTATGGTGCGAGTGATAAACACATTTTTGAGCAGCAATAATCCATGCTGGTTGATCCCAACGACGACTTGAAAAACTTTGTGATTAATTACTAATTATTTGTTACGTGCATTGCTCTAATGATGGTGTTAAAAATAAGTATTTTGTTAATCGTGCCATAAAAGAAAGGAAAATAATTCCAATTGCAATGAATCATCATGTCCATTTAAGGAGGGCCAAAATAAGGGGACTTGGAAAGAGTTTTGAGTTTTTTTTTTTTTTTTTTCTTTGAATGTGCATAGGACACCTAGCTTTGAAAGAAAGATGGAGTTTCCATGCTTGAATTCTAAGGTGATGTGGTCAACCATGACATCATTAATCTTTTTTATTTTAAGTTTGGAGTGATGGTAATTTTAAATCATTAGGTTTTTTTACCTCTTTTTAAAGCATCTTTTTAATACAAAAATTTTAATTTCTATACTAAAAATTACTTTAAAAAACAGTAAAAATACCGTCCCAAACAAAACCTAAATCTAACAAAAACCAAGTCTTAGCATATATTCCACGCTAAAAAAATATGGAAAAAAAATGTTGATGGAAAGTTCTTGATATTTAATTTTAATGATACCAACAAGTAAAAAGTATACGTTAAAGCAACATTTGCGCTCAATTGAGTTGAGACCAGTTAAAAAAGACTATTCAAAACTGTTCAAAGTTTGAATAACAAATCTGCCAAAATATAATTACTTAATTAATATCATCAACAGTATAATTACTGAAAAACAACAAGATTTCATCACTATCTGTGGCGCAGAGGACTTTTCTCTCCAACTGTATCATAGCTTGTTGCTTAAGTATCAATCAACATAACGGTGGATTTCAAAGTTAAGACTTCTTAATCTAAAATAGCATTGATGCAAAGAAGAAACAGCCCTAACGGTTTGTTTCTAATTCAGAGTCGGCTTCAACGAGATCAGAAGCAGAGTTATTTCCACCCCTCAAACGTGAAGAAACATTGTCTATGGCTGAATTCAGTTGGCTAATCTTTGTATTCAGAGTTTGACGAGTTTTCTGCATTGAATTATTTATAGAAGTTAAGTTTCTTCTCAGGGCTCGTTTGGTTGCAAGTACAGAAAAGCATGTTTTAAGAAAAATGGTGATTTTGTTTCCACTCATTGTGTGAAAATAAGATTATTAGACATTGGTTTCTAACTATATCCAATCAAATGATACTTTACTATATTTCTATACTTTTTTAAAAGATTTTTCTAATTTCAAACAAACAGATGAGAACACAGAATAATTAGTACTATAGTAAAATGAATATGGAAATGAAAGTTGGTTACCTCAAGGCCATTGTCAGAATATATTGGCCGCCGAGCTCTTTGAAACCCGGATTCATCTTCATTCAACAATGATCTCCTTATCTGCACATGTAACCAGGTGAAGATTGAAATAGACTATAGTGAAGAAAGTGTTAAAACAAAAAAGGTGAACTACCAAAGCTTGCCCGGAATGATCACCTGTGGAGCGAAGACATAAGCCAAAGTTCCAAACACAGCCCCTCCTAGAAGGAAACCAGCAATAAAATCACCACCCCCTCCTCGAGAACTACCTCCGGACACAGTTTTAAGTTAGTTAGCATAAAATGTTTGAAGATAGATGACATCCACTTGAAATCAGAATAAAGACAATTTATTAAAAAACATCTCAATTGAGAGTCAAGGCCTGCCAGGACCAATATTACAACAAGCAAGAAAAAAAAAGTAGGTCATATGTTGCCATGCAAAGAGACTAGAGGCAAACAAAAGATCAGCTCAGAAGACATCTGCCGGCTCCGAAAATTCATGGCCTGGCCTCGCCACGGCCCCTTTCTCTTTTTAGGGTCATCGAGGAGAGTTTTAACAAGAAAGTTCCGCAGCAACTTTCAGAAGGCAATTTGGGTTTTGAATAAGATATTACCTAGAGGTTTCGCCCTCATTTTACGATGACTTTATGATTTGAGTTCAGGTTTTCTATAGATGCAAGCCCCTATAGTTAATTACCCCTTCAGTAACGAGAAAGAACTTTCGATTAAGGCAAGTTGTCAAATAAATACAGAGTATCTGGCATATTGTACCAACATGATTTGATATTTTAAAATTTTGATATTTAAAATGAAAATTTACCACATTGCACTTAAAGCGGATGGTGGGAGGAATGATGATAGACCTGATCAAGATACCATGGTTCCGTCGTCCCGAGTCATCATGACACTGGTCTACTAAGTCAAAGGAGGTAGTCAACCCCAGCCATGAGTTGTTTCGTCCAAGAGTATCTCGTAGACCTAGAGTGAATATTTATGTAAGGGGATAATTTTGAATCCACCTTAGCTAATAGAGGGTTTTGTGCCCTATCGGTCATATTCTATTGATTTATTACTCAATGATTTGAAATGCAATTGGAGTATTTTTGAACATGTAAGTATTTTACAATGTATGTGTTGATTTTTTATATATGTTCATAATATAGTAATGTAATAATATTTTAATTGCATCTTCATAGCAAACGAAGAAGCAAATTGGATCATGGTCACTTAAAGCATTTAGTTATGTTAAATATAATAGAGCACTGATTCGGAGATTCAATCATCGTGATGTCATTGATCCTATTTCTTTGACTGAGATAGATGATGCAAATGAATGGCTAACAAAAAAATTAGATGATGAGTCTGATGAAGAAAATGACTTTATTGTTGGAGAGGAAGATTTAACTTAGACAAGTGTTGCTAAAGCTACTGGTGTTTATGATAAAAGCTATAATATTCGGGAAATATCTAAAGGGAAAGAGAAAGAATCTTCAATTAGGCATGATGTTGCTATTGAGAATGATGATGAGGAGGGTGATGAAGAGGATTATGAAGTAAGAGACAATGCTGAAGAAGATAATGAAGCTTTTTTAACATTTGCTGATGATGATGATTCCCAAGAAGAGTAGATTAAATTCATATTTGATCTTTTAAAAAAAGATTGTAATATTTAAATTATGAGATATTTGGATGTTACTTAGTCGAATTTATATATGTTATGGTTGTCTTTTATTATTATGATAGCTTGTCTTTCATTTTTAATAATATTTCATATTTAATGCTTATTATTTTTTATATAGCTTGCGTCATGTTCAAAATAGCGCGCGCCGCACCGTGCGTTATGCGCCATGGCTCTAAATGAACATTTGCGCCATGGTGCGCCATTCGCCGTTAACAGGTATGCCTGATGACTTGCCTCTCAGTGAGCCTAATGAGTTTGCTATTTAGGATGTTATAGACCAGCAAGATCCTTAAGGAGGCGCTGATGCCTTTGATAGGATCGATGAGCATCAGGACATGCTATGAGAGCATGATATCTTTCACGGCTTCTTTGCTCGCTCCCCTCTACTTCCGACATGCCCTGTATATTCTCTTGAGTTTGAGGACCACAGTGACTGGGTGAGCAGCATCAGACTGAAGTGAGAAATGTATATCCCGTTGGACAGTACCGTTGATCAGATAAGTTGTGGCATGTGTGACATCTTAGTGCCCACAACGGATATAGCAAAGCAAATAGGGCAATCGAGGTTACTTAGCCACCATCAGCTATAGTCGACATCTTTAGAGTGGCCAAGAGATTCGTCAATTAGACAAATCCAAAGTCTAGCTGGTGGATATGTTCAATGGGCTAGATATGTATTACAAGCCCACATAGACACTTTATAGAAGGCATAGATTTATAAGGCAGTGTATGCTTCACTGTTTTACTTCGGGCACATTCCCCCTTCGTGGGCTCGTGGTTTAGTTGAGTTTTGGGATGCTGGAAACAACACCTGTTGGATTGAGCTAGATGAGCAGACAGTTACACTTTTGGATCTGTAGGTGGTATCTGGGTTACCTGTCTTCATCCACTGCTTCGAGGAGTGTAATCATCCTAATGAAGAGCTTAGTCATAGAGTGCCTTCAACAAATGGGCATTGACGAGGGAGACTAGTTCTGTCAAAGGTATACCCTACACCTCTTCGTCAGTACCATCAAACATACAGATCGTCGAGTCTATCAACACGTTCTTGAGTTGCCATGCATGTGGACATTTGGGTCTGCATCTTCCATCAGAGAGACTACCTGTCCTTTGCTACTGTGTCACTGTATAACCCTTCTAGTTATGGCTTGCAACGCGGGGCTCCATTGTCAGAGGAGACTATCGAGCCGCCTTCTTCTTCTGGCTACATTTCTCACACACTACCGGGTATTGGCAAGGATCTTTTTCTTCCGGGGTTTTTGGTTACTTAGCTCTAATACTTTTGTGCTTCCATTCAGAGCAGGGTCTGTGGGGTGTAGTATTCTTTTAGCGGCCAGCTAGTTTTCACAAGGGTAACATCTCTCTTTGGCTTCGTCTATACTTGCTAGGACATACAGAGCTCTGAGCATAGCTTCTTGAGGCAAGCTTTCTTAAGCTGTGGAAACTAGTCTTACCATGTCACTATTTATACAGATGTATTCATTTGCATATCCATGATGCTTTTCTTGCTTAGAGTGTCCTGCATAGTTCATAGAGAGAGGATACCCTGCGGTCAATCAACTATCACAGACCTCTTCTACCCTAAAGTCAGAGCGAGTATGACACTTTTTCTTCGCTCCACACCTAGTTGTAGACCATTTTTCTCTAGTCCACCAACCAGCATTGTTTGTTTACCACCTCACCTGAGAGACAATTGTTATTGATGGGCTCGACCAAAATGATATATGTGCTTTGATGTGTGGGAGACATACTTTGAGGGTGGCTGAGTATTTCATTAGCATGCCGCCTAAGCTGGCTATGTCACCGTTCAGACATCGTTGTGACATTCGGGGGATACCAGCCCAACAGGGTGGCTCGTTAGTTTGGGTTCTTTCAGGTACAGCTTATGACGGGCGGTTATTTATTCCTGGGCTAGCAGATGTCCGACACATGGATGTCATTCCTTAGGAGACCAGATTTTATGTAGCTATTGTAGCATGGTTACACCTGTTCAGACTTAGTATTTGCTCTAATTTTTGCTTGGCTCCTCCGTTCAACCAGACAAAAGCAAGTTACACACGTCTGACTTAGGTGCGGCTGTCTTTTGCCTCTTCTTTGGAGCAAGGTGCCCAAAAGTATGAGTGCAGGTGAGGGCACTGGGAGTATCAAGGGCTAGAGACCTCAATGGGACTCTTCATAGGTCAGAGACAACTGAGGTAACTTTCCTACCCCTTCCCCCTTTCCTTTTGTTAGTAGTTGATTTGTTGACATTTCCCTTGCAATTTGGATTTATATCTTCTTCATCTTCGATGTAGGGGGACATGCTGGGAGTTATACTACTACTGAGGGTACTACATGTTTCCCTGTCATATTGCAAGATGTAGAGCCTCATCTACATCACAAAGAGGTACCCCGATCTTCACGTGGACATACAAGTTCTCAGCACACTACGCCTCCTCGTGCTTCTACGGACTAGACAGCTAGCCCTGCACCACGATGCCCTCTGACTCCAGAGGAGGCATCGATGGATGCTCAGATGTCCACGCTCTTCTTTCAAAGGTCTTGGAGAGAGCTTCCAGGGTGCGAGGATGTCGAATTTCATCGGGTATGACACGGTAGATCGCTCCACAGATTTCATTTTTCCAGTAGACCCTTATGGGTCACTTTGGCCCGATGAGTCGTCTGGGGCTGGTACAGCTTAACCAGTACAGGTGTTGATGTACCGTCATACACACCGAAAGTTTTAGAGTTAGCCCCGGTAGCCGCAGCATCCTTCCTAGAGAGCCATTCCTCTTGAAGGTTCTTCAGGTACATCTTTACTATATTTTTAACTTTATTTATCATGCATCATTATTTTATTTATCATGCGGGTTTCATCGATAGTATCAAATGTAGCTAATACTTTGACCCTTAACCATCCAAGAAAACTTCAATTTCAGTCACTTGAACTGATCAGGTTGAGTGAGCTAGAATTTAACAGCACTTAATCATCTGACTGCTGAAATGGGGGTTCCTCTATTACTATCCTTCTAATGACTTATTGAGTAGACGGAGCTGTCAACGTTTCAGCCATATCTTGGCTTATAGAGTCCAACATCATATGCTCTTCTGTCTCTAGACTTGAGCTATGGAAAAACATGCTCCCCAAGCCAAATTTTGTGAATTTTGCAGATTTGAAGTCATCCTTCGCAGTTCGAGATCTCAGAGCTTACGCACATTCATCAGTTGTCTTGATTGAGACTCATTCAAACCCAATGTAATATTGACTCTCCAATCAATTATGAGAATTTCTCGGGCCATAACTGACGCCAGAGCTAAGCTACTTAATCCTGTTAACTTTAGGCTAGAGTAATTCATACAGTAGTTTGTATGTTGGGTGTAGCCTATTATATTGCTATCTTTCTCTATAAATATGTAGTAATGCTTGCAATATGATGGATGAATAAGATTTGAGTTTAGTTTTGTTTCTATTTTTGTATCCTAAAATAGATTCAGGTGGTCCCTTTTCCCAAGAAGGAATTCTTGGATTTGAGCTCGACTACGGTCACTGGATCATCAATGAGCAGTCATCGAAACCCACTTGTCCGGCGTCATTTGGTATCA